GTTGTCTCTTGTCTCTTAGTTCTGTTGATGGTTTCTTTTGCAGTGCAGAAGCTTTTTAATAAGATGAGATCCCAGTTGTTGATTCTTTCTGCTAGTTCCCGTGCTACTGAGGATTTGTTCATAAAGTCTTGCCATAAAGTGTTGATTCTTTCTGCTAGTTCCCGTGCTACTGAGGATTTGTTCATAAAGTCTTTTCCTGTGCCATAAAGTCTTTTTCTGTGTCTTCAAGAGCTCTGCCTAACTTTTCTTCCAGCAAGTTTAGTGTTTCTGTTTTGATATTTAGATCTTTAACGCACTTGGATTTTAATTTAGTACATAAGATCCTAATGAGGTAATTGACAATGTGAAATAGGAAGAAAAGGGCTAAAGGTATAGGGTAAGTTGGAAGGGTAGGGGAAAGGTAATAAGGGAAAGAAAAAAAATAGGAGAAAATGAAACAATAGAAATAAAATGTTTGTAAATGGGGAGGGGAGGAGGTGGTGAAGGAAGGGCAGGGACTAGGGGGAAAAAATGAGAACCAAGACCTGTCATGTAAAGGTACAAGATCCCAATGATGAATGTAACTGTACTGTATACCTAAAATGTACCAATAAACTCAATGAGGAAAATAAAATAACCAATAGCAATGAAAATCATTATTCCTCAGATTTTCTCTAAGAATAAAATGTTTCTGTGCAAAACTAGGGATTCTTGATTAACTGTCAGATTTGAAGTGTAGAGTAGGATGATTGCAAAGATGAATACTGGGATGTTTAATTTTCCAGAAAGTGGGAGTGTCATTCACACCTCCTCAGACAACCTCAAAGAGCTATTCCAGGTAATAGGAAATGCTTGTCACTGGTTTGTAGTTAGATTAAAAATAATGCCAAAATGCATATTGGCTGCAATTGATTTAAAACTATCAAATATGTTTTAGTCTTAATACTAGAAACGCAATAAATAAATTATTATTAAAGATACTGGCATAGCGACTCTGTTAGTCTAACAGTGAGTCAGCAAAAGAAGCAAATATTTAATGTATGTTTTCTGCATAAATTGTATCTTCCCATCACCCAACAGATGAGAGGAAGTTCAGAGGCAATCAATGCAGAAAAACTATAGAATTGGGAAAATCGGGATTTTAGAACTGTCAATAAAAACTGAAAACAATGGAATTTTAGAAATTATTTGAAAAGGGTTTAAAATCATTAAGGAAAATATTGGTGGGACATTTCAAAATGAGTGAACGAAGAGACAGTACCTGAATCTCTAGACCAGCATGAACCTAACTGAAAACCAACCATCCGAGTGTGTGTGACACACGCCTGGCAGGACTCAAGCTTGTAGAATGCTTGCTGGAAAGAAAATAGTAGAACGCACCTGAAGTGATGAAGATGCTTTATCAGAATGTCCTTCAGAAGAGCTGGCACAGAAACTAGTCAAATGACTAAATGTGAGCCACATGCAGAGAATGAAACATTCTTCCAAGGGTCCATTTTTTCCTCCCAAGTTTTCTTAAATGAGTACGTATACTCTTTTCCACAGGAAATAGTTACATAATGAGAAGTTAGGAATTGCAATCCTATTGATTTGGTTCTCAATTCAGACTAACTAGTAAAATATAGATCTCTGAGAAAACTTGGGAAATAGGAACCATGGTTATGAAAAATACATTTGCTAGTTTGTTTGTGTGTGCCTGTTATGGCAGCTTCTCAGGAGGCTGAGACAGGAGGATTGCAAGTTTACAGCCCTCCTTGGCAAATTAACAAGACCCTATATCAAAGTTCAAAATAATTATAAACAATAAAAAGGCTTGTGTACATAAGGCCTTCAATTTAATCCTCAGTGTGACAGAAATAAAATGGATTTATGGTTATATTTCTTGAATGCAATTTTGGCATGAGATGGCTTTTTTCTTTGGTTTTGTTTCTGGGGATTGACCATGTGCTGAGGAAAATGAGCAGCATCCCCAGCCCTTCAGCATGAGCGTTAAATGTTCATAGAGGTAAGGGGAAAAAATGAGAATCAAGACTTGTCATGTAGAGGTACATGATCCCAACAATGAATGTAACTGTACTGTATCCCTAAAATGTACCAATAAACTCAATTAAAGCTGAAAAAAAATTTGGTATATGAAAATAAAAAAACATAAAAAAGAAACTATCAATAGCAAACTTAATAAGATAGATTGGCAGAGAAATACAATATCCTGCAAATAGGGCTGTGTTTTGGCCACCCAACCGCTGAGCTAAATCCCCGGCCCAAGGATACTCTTGAGACAGGGAAACAGTCAGTGTCCCAAGCAGCTCCGAGAGTTGCTAGTACTGATGCTTGGAGCATTGGTTGGAGTATTTCATTGTTGTTTCCTTGAAAGACTTCAAAGGAGTGAAGGTTTACAATACCACTGATGTGAAAGTATTCATCACTGATTTCTTAATGAATGCATGCACGAAAGCACTCCACCAGTGTGGCTCTGTGCTTCTTCCTTGCCCCGAGAAATGCTAATTCAGTGGCATAAATACAACTCTTGCTTGGAGCATTGGTTGGAGTATTTCATTGTTGTTTCCTTGAAAGACTTCAAAGGAGTGAAGGTTTACAATACCACTGATGTGAAAGTATTCATCACTGATTTCTTAATGAATGCATGCACGAAAGCACTCCACCAGTGTGGCTCTGTGCTTCTTCCTTGCCCCGAGAAATGCTAATTCAGTGGCATAAATACAACTCTGAAGGACACGGGCAGTTACATCCATACCAACTGCCTTCTTTCTTTCCGTCAGAACTAAGAACCACATGTGCTATCCTTGCTAGATAGTCTT